CTAATTATTTCTTTCTTTCTTTCCCACCTTTTAAGAGATGAGCAGAAAAATGCAGTAGAATGTTCTCCATCGTGCATACTAGAGTGGGTGCTTATTGCATGGGTTGTTTCTTTCTCTCTATTTGCGAGCGAGTGTGTGTGGTGGGGAAGAGTTTGAAATAAAGAGTAGCTCAAGAAAAGGAATCCAATTGGTCCAGGCGATCTCATCAAATGTACGTGGTCCCTTTTTCTTGAACCCCAACACATGTCCTTTTTTGACCGTGCATTGACTGTGTGAGAAATAAATAAAAGATTTCATGTGATAATTAGCTGATAGTCGATAGGTCACACTACAAAAAAATTGTTCTATTCCAACGGAAAATTTTATGGTAATATATTTTAATGGAAATTCCAACGAATATTCCAATAGTATAGCTTCCATTGGAATCATTCCAACGGAAATTCCAACAAAAATATTCCGTTGAAATATATTTTTCATTAGAATTTTAAATGGAATTTGATAATTCCAATGGCAATATTTCCAACGGCTTTTGACCGTAAGAATTTCCGTTGGAATTTTTATTTCCACCACCGTTGGAAAATCTACAGTTGAATCGTCAAAATCCAACGAAAATTCCAATGAAAAACTCATTCCAATGGATTATTTTTGTTGGAATTTCCGTTAGAGAAACTCCAACAGAAAAATAACATTGAAATATTCAATTGGAATTCTATTGAAATATATTTCCGTTGAAATTTCATCATTTTCTTGTAGTGTCAGTTAATAATTTACAAATGAATTTTAAGCTTATAACGTATAACTTATAGTTGGAAAACTAGTTGATATGATAACAATGTTAGATAAAATTAGTTGATAAGTGAGTTGAAATAAATAATTTCAATGAGTTTATTCGAAAAGCTCCTAAAACAAGCTTATGAGATAAGATAGAACTTTTTAAAAGAATTGACTTACTAAACAAATCTTATTTGAATATAGAAAACGCATAAGCTAACCAAAAAAAGAATAACACTATGTAATCTTTTTCAAACAAACTCAAAATTTTTCTCCAAAAAATAGAGACGGGTTGGGCAAGTGTTCAAGGCAAAATCTATCATAATTAAGGCCTTCGGGTTGGGTGGTCGCTTGCTTGAGCGACCCCAGTGGCAAGTTGGGCAAGTGTTCAAGGTAAAATTCATCATGATTAAAACCTTCAGGC